CACAAGCTGTGTATTTGCACGTCAATTGGTGGAGTTTTGGAAAAGCTACTGGTGGAGAAGAGATTTTTATGTATGAATAATGTCGTAAAACAAATTTTATATATTGGATTACTATTTTGTTTCTCCATTTTATATGGGGATGCACTGCACATATGAACAAAAGCACCCAATATACTGCATCCCAAATTTGCCATTCCAGGGCAGATTCCAACTTTCAACTCACCAATGTGAGAAAATTAAATCATTATTGAACATTAAAATAAGCAAATTAAGAGAAAAATGTTTTATATTTATATAAATGAGGTTTCTCTCATGTTTTCCCTCTAAACTGTGGGTTTTTCTCCGGAAGTTTTTCCTTGTACGATGTGAGGGTCTAAGGATAGAGGGTGTCGTTTTTTTCTCATACTGATATTCCAACCCAGTCTCACAAAAAAACGTGTAATAACTACGTTGGTCCACAACGTAGGACGTAGTATTTCTACAAAAACGCCGCTGAAATTGTAAGATCCCTACGTTTTTTTTCACCATTCATTCCAATGACTGGCGTCTATGTCAAGTGATCTTCACATTTCTCCCTTTAGAAAAAAAAAACATGGCCGAACTTCGTTTTATGAGAAATATGAGTTGTTATTTCAGATTATGTGTGCAGTGGATGTACATGATCTTTAGTTTGCTAGTTATTACGAAGATTACTTCAGGAAATTGTGTCTATACAACGTTTTCATTGTCACCAAGGTGGTTGCTAGGGATGCTGCTATCGATATTATTTCTGTTATGTTGTGTAACTGTTTAATGGTGTTATCTTTATTGTTACCCCCTTCCCCGTCAATGTATAGTGTTGGTCCACAGCGCAAACGTATTAGTTTAACAAAATCTGCATCTAAAATTGTGGCATAGATACGTTATTTTCCCCTGTGCAATTCTCCATTTACTCAACAATAACACATAATTATCCTTGTGGTTATTTATTTGTTTGATTAATAAACACAAGTTGGAGTCCGTCAGGACCGAGGGTCGGAGCAGCTCATTTGCTTTAGAGAATATTACACCGGGAAGTAAGTATTCTCTCCGCTTCGCTTGACAAACCCTGTGATAGTCCTCAAGCTCTGTGATTCTTTCACACACAGTGACGTCACGAGCTACCCACAATGCAACACGCGCCATATATATATATATAAATACGCCATTTTCCTGGAGGTGCAAATATCCTGGAAGTGCAAATATAAACAGCTAGCTAACGTAGCCAGGCAGAGCGGACTAGTTTTTTTTTCTGAATTAACGACCGAAGAAATCGCTGCATGTCTTCGGATTACATCTCTGGACTTGAGGGGTGTGCTTTAGGTCGTTACCAGCGTAAACTAGAGCCACCGCGTCCCCCCCTCCCCCACCCCGTCCCCAGAACTACACATGCTGGCTATTCTGTTTCGCAACATGTTCTCTATCTATGGCACGTCTCTACTGGGAGTTGTAGTTTTAAAAGACGTTTTCGTATTTCCCATAATAAGAAGTTGTCAGTATTAAACTGTGTACATCCCTGGAGGTTTAGGGGATAGGAACACTCAAATTTAAAACATCCATCCATCCATCCATCTTCTTCCGCTTATCCGTGGTCGGGTCGCGGGGGTAGCAGTTCCAGCAGAGCCCCAAACTTTCTTTTCCCTGGCGACATCAACCAGCTCTGACTGGGGGATCCCAAGGCGCTCCCAGGCCAGCGAAGAGATATAATCCCTCCACCTGGTCCTAGGTCTACCCCTTGGTCTCTTCCCAGCTGGACGTGCCTGGAACACCTCCCTAGGGAGGCGCCCAGGTGGCATCCTAACTAGGTGCCCGAACCACCTCAACTGGCTCCTTTCGACGCGAAGGAGGAGCGGCTCAACTCCGAGTCCCTCCCTGATGACCGAACTTCTCACCTTATCCCTAAGGGAGACACCAGCCACCCTGCGGAGAAAACCCATCTCGGCCGCTTGTATCCGTAATAATAAATTTAAAACATATAATTAATAAATGGGTGAAATGTGCTTGTGCCCATAATGGGCAGTATTAATATATATACCCACATGCCAGCTAAGGTCAGAAGAGCTTTATTTAACAGCTGGTCTTATGTCTGTGACCCCTCCTGTTGTTAATTGATGAGCCTAAAACATGCACTTGTCAAGGTTCAGAGGCACATTTTGCAAATATGGCAGTAGCCATCGATCATCTTAAGATAAGATATACTTTATTGATCCCAAGTTGGAAACATTTGCGTTACGTCAGCATGTGTAACAGTTGTAAATATGCAGTGGTGTTTATTTGTAAATCATTTAGTATAATCACACAAATTCTGTGTTTTATATTTAATAATTCTGTGTTCTTTATTTATTGATTGTTCAATACCTGACAAGGCAGGAGATGAACAACTTTGGTCGCATGTTCCTCAACAGTGCATTACAAGACATCTATCAATATGTGTGTATACCTCCACCATTAAACTGTCGTATTCTGCACATTTCTTATACTATCTACATACATCTTATATAAGAGTATAATACATATGTATAATATCAGTTAAAATAAGGACTTCAACATAGTTAACATTGCTGGAGGTATACACAAAGTTTTTCATTCATTGCATAACTACACCGTTTGTGAATATGATATGTCAATAAACCTTAGAAAATCTTGAAAGGGATGTGCAAAATAGTCATTATATACTAGTGCTGTAGCGACGCGTCGTCGCTACAGCACTACAGCACGAAGTCGACGTCGTCGACGCGTCGACTTCAAAATATCGTCGAGGACATATTTCCGCGTCGACGCTTCGCCACCATAGACTGTATGACGCCACACACACGTGGGTCACCCAAAGCAACAAGCAATTCGCAATCGCACTTCTAACACAATGAAGACTGAAACGGCTACCAACTCCTCCTCACAGGATTGCGCACGAAGCCCTCAAACGAAAACATCTCGCCCCAGGTCTTCAAAAGCATGGGAATATTTTAAAGTTAGTCCAAAACGCAAAGATATTTATATATGTATATCTCACTGAGACTGCTGCTTGACCGGAAGCAGCAGCTAGCTGTGGTGGCAACCATTAGCAGCTAGCATTTGCTCTCCGATTTGAAATGGAATTATGGATTATAAATTCAATAATTTTTTTATACATAGACGTTAAAAACCTATGGATTAACCGATTCAGCCGCGTTTTTTCTCATTTGAATGCCATTGAACACGTATTTTGATCAGATTGACAGCTACGGCGGTGAGACGATCTCCCTAGAAGCTCTGTGAAGGTACGTGTTGTGATGACTGTATTTGCTTCCCCTGTCGCGAGTCCGGATCACTCAGTGATGATACTATGTACCTACATAATCTGTGGAGTCTCAGCTTTAATCGGATATCTTGTATGTGCAGCTACGATAAGTAATAAGGGTACTTTTATCTTGAGATCTGTGCCAATGTCCGTTAGCATTTTTCGCTCAGGGGTCATTTAGATGCTTCTTATGAGACTTGTGTTTTGTTTTGGTAAACATGGTTTGTATCGTCAGTTAGCTGAGATTATTTCCGTTAATCTGGTATAACACATGAATAGGTTCTTAAATATTAAGATCCCCTGAGACACAGTATCGTGAGGAAAAAAAATGTTTACATTACGTTTTTTTTACATTACGTTTTTTATGAATTGAACAACAGAAAAATAATCGTTCGATTAGTCGACTAATCGATCAAATAATCGCCCGATTAATCGTTTTCAAAATAATCGTTTCCCCCCCAGCACTATTATATACAGTCTTTAATTATCTATTAGTAGAATAACGAGTAATGAATATACTTTATAGGGATCCTATTAATATCTAATAATAAAAATAATGAAATTCAATAACATGCTTTAACCACTAGGTGTCCCTTTATATCAGCTGTGCACCTTTATGGTGTAAATACAGCCTATCTACCAATTGGATCAAATATAAAAGTCAGCCGAATTAGTGTTGATACTGCAAGGAGACGTATTGTGTGAAAAGAAATGTAAGATGTTGTTTAATGGCTGATATATTTATGATCCACGTCACGTTTTCAGTGTTGGCGGCAGTTCCTCATGTTTGTCTAGAAGTCTTCTCATCAGCCCTGCTGAAAAAAACAGCTTGGACCAGCATGGACTTCAAGCTGGTCCAAGCTGGTCCATGCTGGTCTACCAGCATAATGACCAGCATGGACCAGCTTGGACCAGCATGGACCAGCATGGACACCAGCATGGACCCCAGCATGGACACCAGCATGGACCAGCATGGACCAGCATGGATACCAGCATGGACCAGCATGGACACCAGCATGGACTGCTGGTCATTATGCTGGTCTGCCGGTGCCAAAAACCGTTATACCAGCATGGACCACCATGAACTTCATGCTGGTTCATGCTGTAACATGGTATGAAAAAAAAAATCTATTATTATTAAGATGGCATGAAATACAAAAACATACCAATATTTCAGTTTATATACATTTACAGAACATAAATAACTGCAAATTCATAGAATCTCTATATTAAATACATTTATTCACTCACACCCAAAAGATTACCCTGTTAAAAAACACAATATTAGATCTATCTTGCAGCATAAAATAATTATGACATCGACTTCAAAATGTAGCTTTTTACTATTTTCGACCATATATAGCAATTTCTCATGTTTGTCTTTACAAATACAAATGCATTTTGTTTTTGCGAATCATTGATCTATTCCATAAAGAAAAAATACCCCACAAGCAATGGCATTATGTAAACAAACATTTAAAGAGTTAAAATTCTGATAAATGTAGAATTTCTTTGAAAGAATTGCAATGATATACGGTTCAAATAAGGAGTAATAGCATATAGAAAGCTTATATTCTTGCAATGCTATAATGCATTTTTCAACAAAACAACAAAAACGTGTGAGTTTTAACAACATGTTTATTTATTGACTTTTCATTCCTGTATGGCAATATTCATTTTGCACAGAAAAAAAATGTTTGCCTAAATGACCAACTAAGATATGCTAGTTACATTTGTTATGAGTTTTGGCTAAAATGGTAGCGTTAAGGTAATGGTTCTCCAACTAGCAATTGCTAGTTGGAGAACCATTTAGCTAGTCAGCGGCAAGCAAAATACTTGGCCGCTGAGTTAAACAAGCTAACGTTCGAGGCATGCTAGCGTTAGCTGCAAGCTCGCGTTAGCTGCATTAAGAATGCAGGTTCTGCATACTAAATAGTACAATATTTTACTCAGAAGTAGTTGTCAGAAATAGCCAGAAATGGACACCCTCGGGTAAAGTAAATCTACCCTGAAAACAAAGCACTTCGATAAAATGCAATCAGTTACTGTTGTATTATACTCTGGTGCTGATCCATTAACTGCTATCCGCAGACATGCAGATGTAATGTTTGAGGACCTGGAATGACATATTATAAATGTTTCAGTTCAAGGAAAACAAATATTGAAATTAAAAGTAAGAAGGGATGTATTTACATCTCTGACAAATCTGGCCCACATCTCTTCTCGGGGGCGCTCCAGAATTCCGTGTCCCCTCCTGATCCTCTCCGGCAATGCTAAAGGCCCCAAGTCCACCTGGGTTGTCCAGGTCTTGGTGTAGGCGAGCAAGGAACGTTCCGGGGAGTGGGGTGGCATCTAAATGTGGAAAAAAACAACAATATAATAGGATGGATAATGCAAATAACTGGGAGCATCAAATGCATTTCTTTGTAATCTACCTGCTTCTTTATGTAGAATTTCTATTATAGGGCTCTGGATGACCCACACGGCAACCACATCAAACGATCAATTAAGCAAAAATGTTTGCCTATGTTAAATACTTGGACGACGGAGTTAAAGAAATCGTTCCAACGTCTTATATTAAGGACTCCAGAAAAACAGTGCCTTCAAATGGGGAATCCCAATCCATCTGCTGGGCAATGAAAAAAAACATCAGAAAACATGTATTTAAGAATGCAGGTTCTGCATACAATGTGAGTGAATACAGAAATGTATGACAACCCAAAGCACAAAGGGAATTGTGATTGCATTTACCTCAACATTTGAGACATAACTTGTACGTGGAGACATGGCAGGGCTCGACAGTAACGGTTGCCAGGTTGCCATTGGCAACCATTCAGAAAAAATTTCAACCACTTCTTGGCCATCAGTGGCAACCAGTTTTTAACATAAAGAAATAAGGACAGCAAACAGCAAAATGTGCACCCCAAAATAGATAAATGTTAATTATTTGTTGTGTTAAGAGTGATATTTAATTATTGTTGTGACCAGTCGGAACCTGATACTTAAGTTGCACGTGCATTGGTGTGATTACGGAGCCATAAAGCGATGCACGTTTACTCGTGTGTGTTTATTTTACAAAAAATGGCGAAGCAAATTAAGTTGTTTGACTGTGGGGTAAAAGGTTCGGCCAACCCGTCAACATCTCAAACTAATGTTCAAAGTGATTCAACTGATAAAGCGCAAGATGAACCTGGACGAAAAGCAAAGAGGAATGTTGTCCATTCACTTCTGGTAAAAGTTCCTTCAAAATAAGAGTCCCGATCTTATTACTACCAAAATAAAAGTGCAAAACGAAACTTTACCATTTAAATATTGGCATATAATGATAATCACTTCTATACAAAGGTAACACATTTTAAATATAGTTAGACATATTAAAGGTGATTTACAGCATTAATAATTAATATCTAATTCTTAGCTGTGAATGGTTTTCATTTATTTAACATTAGAAATGTATTAGTATGGCCAATCCAAGACTTCAATGCTGAAGGGCCAATGGATCTATGGTGGGGGTCAGCACAAAGGTCAAGAAAACCCACATTTGAAAGGAAGACAACGGATGATCAAGAAACTAGTGACTTGCTCAATTCATTTGTGAGGGATCTGTGAAGAACATGACAACAGCTGCACTACTGGTATTTTGTATACCAGCAATTGAGGGTGGACAAGTTTACTACCACTTAGGTTTAAAATAATTGTGTTAATTACTTATTGTAAAGCCTTTGAACATTCTTTTGTGTCACATGTTCATTATTAAGTTGATGTATAACTGTATAGTATCTTAATTATTTAAAATACAAGGTGACTAAAAATGGCAACCGTATTTTCAGTTTTGGCAACCAAAAGCTGATGCCTGGTTGCCAGCCTGGCAACCACTTTTAAAAGTTAGCGTTGAGCTATGGTCTGCACAGGATAACGAAAACGTGGTTTTGTCCAGTCCGAAATAATGTCTTACATAAATTGAAACAGCATAATCCTCGCTCACCTCAACATCTGCAACGTGTGACCCTGATTTGTTTTTGAAGTCATCTGCCACCTTAAAATGACATCACCAGGTAAGAATGAAAAATAATAATTACAGAATTGATACTTTGAAAGGTTTAACACAAAAATATCATCAATTAACTTACATCAAAATGTCCACTTTTCAGTTTAGCTCAGCGTTGATTGTACTGTGAGGCTCCAAGTACAATTTGTACTTCCGTTTTGGCATTCTAAAATAAAAAAAAGAACATGGGTATCATTAACAGACTGACTAATGAATGGCAATTTCACCAATAAAAGGTTGAAATTATTCTACTGACAGTATAAACCGAACAATTTAAATTAACGAGCAGTTTTTACTAACTCGGACTATAGCACCAGTGTAAGGTGACACTCAATTGTTGGTTTTAAAAAAGGTACTTGGAATAATCCACACTTTTTAAAAACATTTTTTTGTGAAGGTTATATATTATTAATCCAGATGTGAGAGACACAGCTACAGCTCCATCAGAACAGGAGAGGAAAATAATTAGATATACAGCTGGGGGGGGGCATTGGGGGTCATTAAATGTTATATTATGGAGCCAGGGAGGGGGGTACATATTCAGACAAAACACAACATTTACAAGATTACATTTGTAATTTTAAATGAGAAAAAACAATGAATATTTTTAGATAAAAGTAATTTTTTTGCCAAAAAAGAAACTTGGATATTCTAAAATGATTAGTATAATTTTATTTTTAAACCTTATCTGTGTTGCTAGAGTTCAAAAGATTGCAATCATTATATATATATATATCTATATACTACGTCTACTCACTGCACACAGACAAAATCTGTAAGATAAATGCAGTCTATGGTATTTACTTGTCTTAAATATTATATTTAACTATACAGAGCGGGAAGCGCGTGAGCTGAGGTATACCTCAGCTCACGCGCTTCCCGCTCTGTAGTTAAATTCACTGTGATTGGCTGAGAGACAGGAGATGTTCGACTGATCCAGAGATCTATAATATAATTTATATTATAGGGCTCTGGACTGACCCACACAGCAACCACACGATCAATTAAGCAAAAATGTTTGCCTACGTGAAATCGTTCCGACCTCTTATATCAAGGACTTTGACAGGGAGAAATATATACAAAGTAACATTGACACTGTATATTGGGTACGCTGGGAGGACGATTTCTTCAAGGGACAAATATTATTTGTAAAGGGTGAGCGATGGTGTCCTGAATACTGCATTAAAACCATAGCGTTAATAAATGACCAACTAAGATATGCTAGTTACATTTGTTATGAGGTTTGGCTAAAATTGTAGCGTTAACGTAATGGTTCTCCAACTAGCAATTGCTAGTTGGAGAACCATTTAGCTAGTTAGCGGCAAGCAAAATACTTGGCCGCTGAGTTAAACAAGCTAACGTTGGAGGCAAGCTAGCGTTAGCTGCAAACTCCCGTTAGCTGCAAACTCCCGTTAGCTGCTTGCTCGCGTGTTGCAAGCTAACGTTAGCCGGAAGCTAGCGTTAGTTGCAAGCTAGCTATTGCCGCTGAGTTAAACATGTTGCTTTGCGACATAAGACAAACGACTCAAACAACGAACTTTTATAATATCCCATAATGTACATGTAATACGTATTGCAGATGTTAAGTACTTACACTCAGTGTTATTTCTTCCAGACACATGACAGCGCTTCATGCTATAATGACAGCTCTTAGAAGAACATTCTAGAATTCAAGATTCCAGAGCAGTGTCTCGTGCGCAAAAGAAATAGGTAGCGCGTGATGCCAAGAATGTATACAAGTAATCCGTTCGGCCCGACATCTGCCAGCCAGGATGTTTGCTTATGTGAAATACACGGACGGATTTAAGGCTTGTAGCTATACCTATAACAAACATCCAAAACTTCAACCTAAAAACATATCAAGCGGACATCCTCTGTCTATCCCATTCTTTGGGAATACAAATATTTCAACGGCCAGGTTCTACTTGTGAAAGGTACGAATAATTAGGCTACCTTAACATTAATAATTAATAAGCGAGTAGCCAACGGCTTATTCTAACCGTTAGACTCTAACGGTTAGAGTATGCCGTATATACATATATATATTATTATTTGTTATATATAGGCCTATATATATATACATATATAATATATTCGTTACTGGTACATTAAGATGGCTTACTCTAACGTTATACTCTAACGGTTAGAGCAGGGGTGGCCAACCAGTCAGAGGTTAAGAGCCACATTTTTTCTATGTTACTGCAAAGAGCCACATCAAACACACAGGCACTGATACCGCTTGTTTCCGTTTTTTTGTTTTCTGGAGACAAGATTTCAACCACGTCACTGATGCATTTTTGTGGCATTGGGATATATATTTTTTAAATCCTCTGGAGCAGAGAGAGGAGCTGTGGATTATTGTTATTGATTAATGCATCAGTGTTTCTTAGGGTCAAAAACACTAAACTCACAACTTAAAATGAAAGCGTTTAGTTTATTTAATAAAAGAGCACATGTTCAATGTGAAAAGTGACAGTAGTTATAGATTATTTGCAATGTGGTGCTATATATATTTAAAAAAAAAAATTAGATATATTTTTTAAACACCTTGAATTTCAGGGGGGGGCGCGGGGCTCCGTTGGCGGGGCGCAGCGCCCCTCCAAAACAATGGTAGGGGAAACACTGGATAGTGTTTAATCAATGATAGGTTTCCCCCCCTCAAAGGTGATTGGTTCACTGCATCGCAGGTATTATTGTGATTGGCTCTTGGGCCACATCAAAATTAGACTTGCTGTCATCCTCTCATACTGACACCTGACACCACACATACACACCGGGAGCCGGGACGAAAGTAACACGGGACGAAAGTAACGGAGCGATTTTATCCGAGCCCAAACAACTTTGACCGGCCAAATTACGTTAATACTTAACAGACCTACTAAATATCAGGTTTAACTGTCAGGAGTAGCTAGCTAGTGTTGTCACGATACCAACATTTTGGTTTCGATACCAAGTCAAGAATTGCGATTCCGATTATTTTTCGATACTTTTCTTAAAAAACAGTCTTAAATGTAATTATTGTGCTTTATTTCACACCAGAACCATAACCATAACACAAACTTTTAAACAATGAGAACAATAAATTAAATAAATGACAAGATTTCCTATTAAATAAAATTAATACATTTCTTACAGACAGGCCTCGTGGTGTCCGTAGGCTTGCCCTCACTGTCAGAGATATAGCTCAAATACTTCCAAATTTCGCTTCTGGCGTCTTTTTTGTCAACAAGCCGAGGCGCAGCGGCAGTTGCACTCCCACTTGCAGCCATGCTTCTCGTTTTCTCACATGCTCTGGCAGCTAGCGCGTGCACGAGAGAGGGGAGGGACTTAGAGCGTGCTTGAGAGGGAGGGACTGCAGGCACGGCTGCAGTGCAGGGAGTGGAAGCAGAGCGCTGAACACACACGGCTCTTATTAAAACGGCGCTTTCTCACCGGAGTACTTTCCCCCGTCATTCTTAAAGTACCGATACTAATGAAACGGAGGAATCGTAACATTTTTAAGGGCAGGGTATCGCGGTACCTTTCAAGTATCGGTACACCGTGCAACACTAGTCAGGAGTCAGTGTCTCTCCCCCAAACTCACACATATACAATTCGATATGAACTGAAGAGCCGCATGAAACTAGGCAAAGAGCCGCATGCGGCTCGAGAGCCGCGGGTTGGCCACCCCTGGGTTAGAGTATGCAGACTTCATAAGCCGTATATATATATATATTTATATAAACTACCGAAATTAAAGTAAGGTAAAATCATTACCATGGACATTAAACATTAACGTTAGCTTCACTTACACTTACCTTTTGACAGAAACCCAAGAGATTCAGGACTCAACATCAAATCCTCCAAAACGAATCAGAGTTCCAAGGATCCAAGAAGATTTTTTGATTTGATCATTGTGAAGGGACATCCACAGAAATGGATGCTCTAAAAAAGAAATCGGTATGTTTCTTATTTTTAAGGAAAATGTTCTGAAAAATTCTTCTTCTTCTTCTTCTTTTCGGAGGGTGAAAGAAAGAGAAGACTGGTTGTGGACTTAACCTCTTAAGCCCCAAGCCTGTTTTTCAGGCTTCAGGCTCGAAAATGACATGCCCAAAACAAAGGACTATAACTTAACTTCTAAAAGGGTTATATGAATAATTTATTTTATCAAAGCAAGGTCACATCTGTGAGTTGGATGTAGAAGTGTCAGAATCAATAAAGATGTTTCAGTGTCAGAGTAAATCCAGATGGAACATAGTCAAAAAGTGTACATTTTTGTCTCCGCCCAAATAAAACCCATTACTTATAGTGAAAACCACCCTTGAATGATGGGTTAGTAGCCTAAAAGCTTTAGGAATCCAAAGTATAACATATAATAAGTACCCTGTATCAAGATTGAGGCAAAACAAGTGAGAATTGACCGTTTTAGAGAGATTTAGCAAAAAAAAAGTCCAAGCGGACTAAGCTTTGGGCACATTTGGTTCCATCAGTGCCATTTAACCTTTTTCAGGTACCAGACTGTAAAAATCATTGTACAACATTTAATTATCACTATAGGTATTCATTCCATAAATTTAAAAAAAAATAAAAATAAAAAAATTAAGTGGGTGTGTGTGTGTGGAGTGTGTGTGTGTGTGTGTGGTGTGTGTGGGAAGTTCCCTCTTTGCATGAGATGCATGTTACTTGCACAATAAAAATGAGGAAACTTAGGAAACATTTGACTCCAACTGGAGCAGATTTATTAAAAAAAATTAGCAACACACTATACAACAAGCATTTTTTGGGTAAAAAAAAAACTTTTTACAAACCCTGAATGTTACAGTATTACTCCAGTAAGTCATGCCATGCCCTGTAAAAGTTATTTTTGGTAGTGAAGCACAGAGGGACCTGACACTTCCTGCAGTACACAGGTGTCTTCACCCTTCAGTTGCCAGCATCAGAGCACCTCCTGCAGTACCTCCTGACCTTGGTGGCATCTTCCCCATAATACTCGGGCATCCAGAAGCCATATCCTCATCCTCTTCCTCACTGTGAAAACAAATGTGGAAAAAACAAATAGATTAATTCTCTGGCTTGTACTTTCAAAAATGTAACTCAAATCAGAAATAATTTCTCTACAACAACAGCAGAACATCAATTTTGAGTGTGTGAAATAACATTATATCACTCAAAATGTATACCGTGTAAATTATGTGAGACGGGGTTCATATAATCTGTTCAATATTTAATATTAATATTCTGTCTGTCATATATATGTGTGTGTATATATATATATATGTGTATGTATATATATGTATGTATGTATGTATATATATGTATGTATGTATGTATATATGTATATATATGTGTATATATGTATATATATGTGTGTATGTATATATATATATGTGTGTATGTATATATATATATGTGTGTATGTATATATATATATGTGTGTATGTATATATATATATATACACACACGTGTGTATGTATATATATATATATATATATATATATATATGCGTGTGTGTATATATATAGTTGTAAGTCACTTTGGATAAAAGCGTCAGCTAAATGAAATGTAATACCGTGTTAAATTCAACATGTATATGTCTTGTTTATTTCAACAACAAGAACAAGAAACGGCATCCATCTTCTTTGTTGTTGTTGAGTGTGTGAAAGAACATTATATCACAAGATGGATGCCGTCGTGTTATTGTCACGTGTGTGAAATTACTATAGATGAATACACTCTTACACCAAATAAATAACAAAAAGATAAAAACAGATGAATACTCTTAAACCAAATAAATAAGTAATAGATACAAACAGAGAGAATCCATACCTTTCCGGTGACGGAGGTTCATAATCAGAGTCATTACTGTCCCCTTTGTGCGTGACGAGATCACTATCTTCCGACGGAGAGTCCTGAAATACGATGTCCAATGCCTCCTCGACGGACAAAAAAAGTCTTCTTTCTGGCTGCCATTGTTACAATGAAGACAAAGAAAACAAATCCTGCTGTTTCGCTGATCGATCTGCCGTTCTCTGCTCTCCTGTCGCCGCGGGACATGCTATGCTACGCTATAGCCTAGTATGCAGCGTACAAAGACTGGGTCGTGCGTAAATCAGCTGATACAGCCTTTATTTATCCTTACGCAAACTCCTATCTCTGGAACCCATTGGTCGATTTGGGTGATTGACACCTTTTTTGAATCATTAGAGCCAATCGAATCGAGTAGCAGTTTCAAATTACGTAAATACGTCATGCCTGCGGAGGGGGAGCTATGCGTAAAAAGCAGCTCCCGCAGCTGAATCCACGGACTGTTAATCGTTGGACCTACTCTTCTGCCGTGAATGAAAGGATTGATTCTCAGTAATCATTTTAAAGTGACAAGAGACATTGGATTAACCCTGAGCAGCGTTTTTATTCCTTTGAACACAACTTTTGATCACAAAACAGCCAAGGTAAGACCTAATTATTGTCAGGGATTTGAAAACTGATATTGTTTACTTGCTATGTTGTGGCTGCCAGCTCGGTTAATGTTGTGCCTGTAGTGATGGAGTGTACACCCATGGAATCTGTGGAATCTCAGCTTTCAGAAAATGTGTTGTTTGTGCGGAAAGGATGAATTATAAATGATCGTTTTTGTGAGTTATGAGCAGACATAGCAAATGCCCGTTTTTGACATGGGGTCATTTAGAGGCTTTTTTTTCTTTTTCGTATAGTCAGTAAGCCAAGTTTCCTCCGGTCAGATGGGTATGAAATATTAATAGTTTCATGAATGACACTTCAGATATAGCACTGTTGCTACATATATAGCATTTTCGGACCCGAGCTCGGGTCCGTGGGGCTTAAGAGGTTAAAGGGAACCACTTCCTGGCCTTCCTGACATCCAGGAAAAAGGTGAGATTCAAATCCATGTTAATGCCAGAAGCAATTTATTGTTTTTAACTTTTTAAATATGATTTGGGGCATTTCAGTTTTATTGGAAAGAGGCAGCAGAGATCTACTGGAAACAGTGGAGAGGGAGGAGATTATATGCAGCAAAAGGCCCACCCGGATGGTTGCTGCTCCGTGTGGAACGTGTTCTATCAGGTAAAGCAATTTGGTACCCAGTTATTTTTGAGTTTGAATTTAGCCTTTGGAAGGTAATTTCCAACAGTGCATTGTAAAGACTGAAAGATTTAAAGCTTGACATGATTTGGTCTTTTACTTAAGAGGATGTTTGTCTCTGAACTTCTTTAATGCTTATTTTTTGTATTGATGATATTGTTTTGTTCTTTATTTTTGTAGTGAGAATCACTTTGCAATTGTGTAAGTGCTATATAAATAGTTATACTAATAGTATTGTTGTTACCATCATTGCTATAATTAATAATGTTTTCTTTGTTTGGCTGCAGAAAGGATCATGCCAGCCCACATCAAACACCTGATCAAGAACTTGTGAATCTTCAGGCAGAACAGATGAAAACACCTGTTCAAAGTTCCAGTTCCCTACATGGAACCATGCCTGTCTGAGACTCTGTTCCACATGTCTTCAGTCAGTCCTGGACCCTATGACTAGGACACTAGTTCTACCAAGGCTTATTAGAGGTAAGCAGTGGTAGGAGAGGAGTGGAGTTATCTTTGTATTTGAGCTGCAAGTAGACAAAGGTGATCAAATGCTGATGCTAATAACGATCCGAGTCATTTGATATTGATTGTCTGCCAATCAGAGGTCGCGTTAACCGAATATTTTCCGTCTATGACGGATTTTTTTTAACAATGACGGACAAATCTGAAAGCAGTCCGTCATTTTGAAAGATTAGAACAAACTCAGAGCAGCGCCAAAGTTTCCCCGCAGCGAGGCTCCGGTGTTATGCTGTGTTATGCATGCCCTCCAAAAAGGAAATTATACCGTTTCCAAACCTAACTGTGCCGTACAAATCATTGAAATGTCTGTGAGTTTTGGTTTAACGCTGTGCACGCTCCCGCGAAAAAATCCTTTTATCTCTCATCAAAGAGGGCAGAAAACATGCATTATTGTACTCTGGAGGGGAGTTTGACAGGGGATTACTCAAAAGTACACAGTAAAAGTACTTGATTGTACTTGTGGTAGTAGTCTAACAAGTACTGAGTCCAACAGTATCACTTTTATTAAGGATGTATCGCTAAAATCATTTGATCTCATCAAATATAGCAGAAGTTGCATGATTTTGTTCTCAGGAGGGGAATTTGAGAGTAGGCTATTACCCAGAAAAAAGTACTTTTATTGTTGGTGGCAGTCAAACTAGGACTGAGTCAAACAGTGTTAGTTTTTTTACGAACTCATGGTAAAAATAATTTGTATCGCATGAAGCAGAAAAAACATGCATTTTTTTTACTCTTGCGTTAGTGCCGCTTCTCAGCGATTACCGTAAAGGCGCAATAAATCGCGCACTCAAAAATGAAGAACTGCTCATTTGACCAAGCAAATTTGAGAGACGGCTGAGTTGACCGCAGTCCCGCGAGGTGCAGCAGCCATGCATAACACGGCGCATGTGAACTGTCCCTCCCCCCCCCCCGTTGACAGTTCACGAGCATGCTTCTCCCCCCCCCCCCCTCGTCAGAGTTGTGTAAAAGCCGACGGGTAATTCTGGATTTTGACAGAAGTTTTACGACCCTGTCCGTCAGAATGACGGACAGCGAAAAAGTCTAGCGCAACCTCTGGTTCACACATACGAGGAATTTTACTTGATGTTATGGTGCAGACATAACATATAAAACAAGAAATATAATACAAAACAAAAAATCTTTAAGGGCACCGTAATAAAATATAGTTAAATAGCAATAAGAAAAATAAATAAAAAATACCGAATCCTTACCCGATTCTTCTATTTCCCAGATAATACAGCTGCACAATTACAACAGGAACTCATCTTTAGACGGTTAATACAGAAGGTACATTTAATGTTTGTGTTTTTACCAGTCATAGGGTAACAACAGATTTGACTGGTGGTAGGCTAAAAGGCTGTTTTGTTGATCATTTTATTTTTCATTACATTATAAAGATCTGCTACATTGGAGGATTCCAAAGCTGAGCTGGAAGGGGAAGTCACCACCTACAGGACAGCAAATCTAAACATTAATTTGGATAAACTATTAAACCAGGTATTTTCACAAAGTAAGTACATTTGTTTTTAAATTGCAAGCAAATAATAATGACAGTCTTGGATCGATTTTGCATTTTAACTTTCATCAGCAACTACAATAAAAGAAACAGACAAGATGGCAGTGAAATGTGTAAACAATCAGCCCATCAAGATATACACATATGAATTTATACTATTGATGAAATGTTTTTGTCCTTTCTTTGTCTTATTCACATTCTGTAGAAGAACAATCTGAGATACCTGAACAGCGTGAGCCGGCACCCTGGACACCCACACACCCCAATAATTACCCTTCAAAGAGCGAGCCACATGGGAAGGTATATATTATTTCCATAGTGGAGCCTTTTTATTTTTGCTCCTCAGTCTCATATTGGTGTCTAGCTTTTATGTATAGGCTACTGTACACATTTTATGTTTCAGATTGTTGTCATTCACTTGCAAGGGGAGATTCCAGTGCGTCCAGAGGTCTGGGCAAAAATAAAAAAACAACACGAGGGACTCCATGTTCGTGAAGGAGTTGGCTGTGGCGTTTTGGGGCACCGACACCTTAGGGGAAAGGAGCCTGACTGGAAAGGAATGCCCCACCACCAAGACCACCAGGCAGCCTCTAACAAGTAATAACTATTCTGTTTACAGTTCTGTCATCACATAATTGAATACGATTTGTTAAAACATTGTTGTTTCTTATTTTCAGTTTGCTTCAAGCAGTGGCTGTACGAGAAATACGTGGAGGACCAAGAAATGCTGGCCGGATTGGCAAAGACCGGAAGATACATAACAGAGAAGATAATGGATATTAACAAGAAAAAAAAAAAACTTTTAAAAAAAATGTTTATAATTTATTTATTGCTATTTACATGTTGAATTATTTGTTATTTCTAAATCAAATGCATCTATTACAGATGATATATTTATTTAGACGTAGGTTTTTTTTGTAATATTATTGTATTGTTAATGTATAATTTATTAAATAAAAATACTGTTATGAACACTATACAATGTCTTTATTTTGATAGTTACCAGAATACATTGTATATTTAATACTAACATAAGCTGGTGATAGATAAATTCTGGTCTGCTGGTCACCAGCATGGACCAGCATGGTCCACCAGCATGGACCACCAGCATGGACCAGCATGGTCCAAGCTGGTCGACCATGCTGGTGGACCATGCTGGTCCAAGCTGGTCCATGCTGGTGGACCATGCTGGTCCATGCTGGTGACCAAAACACAACACCATGCTGGTCAACACCATGCTGGTCCAAGCTGGTTTTTTCAGCAGGGAGGGCTCTATAAATAGAGAACTATGGCAGATATGTAATATTGAATAAAGCCGAACCGTGTATTACAATGGCGTTATGTGATGACCTCCAAAAAGAAAAGCAAGCACACTCGGAATAAAGTGTTTTCGGTCTGTTTCCGGTATTTGTTTATGACGATGTGATGTGAGATGTGAGACTGGAATTGCACAGGGAAAATAACGTATCTTTAGATGCGGATTTTGTTAAACTAATACGTTTGCGCTGTGGACCAACACTATACATTGATGGGGAAGGGGGTAGCTATAAAGATTACACCATTAAACTGTTACACAACATAACAGAAATAATATCGATAGCAGCGTCCCTAGCAACCACCTTGGTAACAATGAAAACGTTGTATCGACACAATTTCCTGAAGTAATCTTCGTAATAACTAGAGATCATGTACATCCACTGCACACATAATCTGAAATAACAACTTATATTTCTCGCATCAAATGACATCAAAACGCATTTTAATGGCCAAACTAACTTTAAAATAGGCATCTTACACCGAGAATAAAACGAAGTTCGGCCATGTTTTTTTTTTCTGCAGGGAGAAATGTGAAGATCACGTGACATAGAAGCCAGCCATTGGAATGAATGGTGAAAAAAAACGTAGGGATCTTAAAATTTCAGAGGCGTTTTTGTAGAAATACTACGTCCTACGTTGTGGACCAACGTAGTTATTACACGTTTTTTTATGAGACTGGGTTGGATATTCTGAAATATGTACAGCACTTTGGCTCGACCAAAAATCGTTTATAAATGCGCTATATAAAGAAAACTTGATTTGATTTGATATTGTAATTATGTTCTCTTTACTAAACCATATAAAAAAACCTTATTGTCATCCAACTCATAATATAGAATATTATTAGGTGTCATACTATATGTCAAAAAAAGGTATAATGTAATTCATAAAAGGCTATCAAATAAAAAAATAAAAAGTTATGTGGCATTCTATACTATTTGACTAAATAAAATGCTCATTCTTAACAATTTTGAGAATCATTGTTAAATATATACGGGTGGTTATTTTATTTATCAGGCATATTAGAGCAACACACTATTTCATGACAATTATAAAACAATTTTGACCTATTTGTAAGTTCTGATCTTGTATTTGTTTTATTGCAGGTTCACCATGTTTGTCCTGGGCTTGAGTTTGGAGAAAAATATACTGAAGACTATTCCAGGGACACAAAACGAGAGTGAATCCGTTATAAATGAGGATGCCAAACCATTAAGAGCTTTAAAAACCAGTCAAATACTTATAAAATATATTCTAAACGACACTGCGAAAATCCTGCAAACAAATTATTTATTATTTCCATAGATGAAATTCATTGTCTTTTTTTGTTGTTTAAATGTAGACACACTTGTAGCTTGTATGTTATCTGAATGTTTACTCACCTGGATTTGTACTTTTTCCTTAAAGTGTGAGACTTAATTTATTTTTAATAGTTACTGAGAACAACTTCATCTACCTCCTGGTCGTGTACACAGTGTATCAACAGTTTTTTTTTGTTCTAACAATTTCCAGAAGATGGTGCTATATGCAAGCAATCTAACTCGCTTCAGCTGAGTTTAATTTATTCACAATTAAAAGAGAGGATCGGGCCATTCGTGGGTACATGTATGTTACAATATTTGCATTAAACCTGCATTTATATGACCAACTTTTATATAAATCTAACTGAAGCACAAGACACACATGATGAATCTGCAACACAACAAATACAATATAAGAACTTAACAAATAGGTCAAAATTGTTTTATAATATAGTGTGTCACAGTATTATGTCCGATGTGTTTAATCAAACAAATAAACAACTTTATACATTTAAAAATGGATCACAATATTGGTAAGAATAAGTGTTTCATTCAGTTCATTAGAGTACAGAATCACTCTTAAACATTTTTTTCGACACATTATATGCTGGTATGAATTTCATCACATATGATTTTTGACATTTTACAGCACAACTTTTTTTAAATAATATTCAACATTTTCATTGTTTACATAATATAGTTTGAAACCTTTTTCAATCATTTTATATTATGACAGTCATGTATACAATACATCTCTTATTTTGCTTTCTTATTTTAATAATCTTTATTTATTTCCTCACATTGGTAATATGAAAGACAGATCTGCCCTGGAAAAGCATATTTGTGATGTAGTATATTAAATGTTGAGTGCTTTATATACACTATTATATTAGTATAGTGCCTATGCTATAGTGTATATATTTGTCTTTGCCAGTTCAAAGGGACAAACAGAATACTTTTCCCAAATATAAATGTAATGTTACGTCATTATTAACAGAAATGTGAGTACATTCAGTGTAGCTCAAATTCTTGCAGAAAACTATGATAATCCGCGAAATATTAGTATAGGCTGATGCACCACACATGGGAAATTAAAGCAACTAACATATTGTACAGCCTCCTAAATATGTTTTCCAGTGCATATCTGACTTGATTTAGTAGGAGATACAGAGTGCACATGTTGAAGTGGATAATTATGTCTGTATTTTAACAAACCTGCATTTGCATCTGGTTACATTAACATGCTGTAACTACTGACAATACTGTGCGTTGTACGGCTGTTTGAATATAGCATTGAGGAAGAACTGCTCAAAATAATCCTTCTGACATTAAATAATTGATTTGGATTATTCAGAGAACAAGCTTTAAAGATGTGCTTATTAAGTCCTGAGATGTTTGATGAAGTTCAAGAAACATCTTGAGGACATGATCAAACTCAAAATTATCTGACTGTATAAACTCTCCAATGTGAAGAAAATGCAAGGTCAAGTCAAATAGCATTTAATATTTATCAAGAAATGAAAGAATATTAGAGAAATACTTGTTTGATCACAATGGTACTTGTATCTTGATTATACACAGTGTAGGATTACAAAAATAGAAGTATGTTTGGCAGTCTGTATTGGAAGAAGTATTCTTATCCTTCACTTGAGTTAAAGTAAAAATGAATATTCAGAATCTGTTCATTCATTAAGCAACCAATATGCTTGAGTGGAAATAAGGTCTGTTATTCACGCACGCTTTAACACATGTTCTTTGAGTGACTGTATTGAAAATATTCCCTGTGTGCTTTATAACAAGAGCAGTTTGAACATTTAGCAGTGAAGCAAATAACAGTTTATTTCCTACATAGCTTCACATCTACCAGTTTTGTCAACATGTTGTCAACAAATCACAACCTTGTTCCTGCTCACAAACGTCCAAGCAAGGAGCCGCTTGCCTTTGAGAGTTACATTACATCATAAGAGTCAATCCACAATAACACTTGCAGTAAAATCTGGCTCCCAAAGCTGGCTGCACAGACCCTGACCCACAGGGCCCCACTGCAACATCTCATAATCATGTCACCAAATGATGCAAGAATGTGTATGTAAACAAAATATGAAAAGCAATTAATTCTCGTACATATAGCAAACTTTAACACGTAAAGAAAAGGTTAGAGTCTTATTGCGGCAGTTTTTTGTATATACTATTTGTAGAGGAAACTTCTGTGTAGCAATGCAGTGGGAGTCACAGACTCAGGAAAGAGACACGGGAAGAGCAGGAGCTTTGATGTCAAACACTGATGGTTTATTTGGAGCTTCGGCCGGAGAATTCACATCACAAGTCCAAGAGCCAGAGGTTCTGACTTCACGGTAGAGTTGCCACGTCAAATCTGGAGCGCCTCTCTCTCGTTAGCCCATTTAACTGGTTTCGCAGAGAGTAATCAACATATTTGAGAAGATAGCCTAAACAGTTGGGAACACTGAGTTACTTGCGTCTGACACTTATGACATCGAAGATTTCACACCTTGGAGTCCACAAATACAGAGAAGGAAGTGTCCCAGTGTACCCACAACAATAAACCATCTGTGACCTAGGGTTGCCCGGTCATAGAATGGGAACAACAACATTATGGCCGAAGCAGCCTATCTCCTTAAAGGAGATAATAGACGTCAGGGTTGGTCATGCACGTCATATCTAGGAGTCTAGGACAATTATTTCCCTAACACTATTGTTATGTGTTATGCATATGCATGTCTGTTAATGATTTATGTAACCCAAATAGAAATGTCAAATTATAAAACGAAATTATTTTAAAAGTCTTCCTTTTTCTAGCCTTCAGCTTGAGCCATCTTTGTCAAAATGACTCAACACATAGTTAGTGTTACTTTGATTAAAATCTCTTATTGACGGTTTTCACAAATGCATTTAGAGTAGCGGGTGATGCACAACGCTGACATAACTGGGCTAGCATTTGAGTTGAGCATTGGTCTTTTAATATAATAGCTGTTTAGTATAATAGCCGTGTTTGGCTGTTGTTTGTTTTGTTGTTATAATGATGTTCAAATGGATAGCATGAAGTAAAAGCAGGGCTCTCCTTTTGTGCATTTTATTTAATTGCTGCAAATAAATTATAAATGAGCCGCAATGACAACATGTTATTGGTTATCTTTTGTTTTCTATTTATAACAAACAAGGTTGTTATGTGTGGAAAGGACTTTATGCTCTGCAACAAGCCTATAATGCATTTAGCTCTAGGGCAGATTCAAGAAGAATCCAAATGAAT